CCTTCCATTCCCACTTAGCAACTTCTACTACTTCTCTCAATTCATCTCGGACAATGCTAAGTACCTACTTCCATTTTATTGATTGGGAGTGCCAAGAAATGTTCGTGTTTTTTGCGCTCTAAACATCTCACAACCGACTAACGCGTACTTTATATGCAACTCAGCCTGCATTGATGCTTGCGGAAATTGTGTTGAGCTACCTCCAGCCACCGCCAACTAGAGTTCGTTCATTCTATAGTCATTATTCGAACACTTTGAAGTTGTCTATGAAAGATAACTTGTTATATTATATCTTTCCAGAGACATGAACCAAATGCGCTCAGATGCCGCAGCTGCAAGTGCCGGAGGAAAATTGTATGTTTCGGGTGGATTCAATGGTAATGAGGTGCGAGATCAACATTTGGGATGATGTGAACTTGCATTAGCAACGCGCGAAAGGAATTGTTGACTTTGTACTGCAGGTTCTGCAAACCGTTGAGGTGTACTCAGTAGCAACTAATGCATGGACAGAGATTGCCAGTTTACCATCACCTCGCTCAGGTCTGCTATGACGTCCCAAAAATTCTTGAAAGTTCCTCAAATTTTAAGGGCATTGTATGCTGCTTTTTGATCCATATACCATGATTGTACTCGGCGGATTCAATGGAGACGATCGTTTAACCAGCGTATGTACATGGAAGATAGGACATTTATCATGGTCGGAAGATGCTCCTCCGATGAAGAACAAAAGGCTGGATTTTTTTATATAGACTTTTGGCCTCAACTGTTATTGTTGTTCAGGTCCAATTTTTCCGCTTGCTTTTTTGATGGCAAACTTGTCGTCGCTGGCGGATATTCAGTCTCATCTACAATAGCAGGAGTCGAGAAGTACACCTCTAATATTTGTTAACAAGGGTGGCTAAAAAATTGCGCAGAAACGGTGGCAATTAACAATAATTGCGAACAGTTTCTATCTCACAAGACTCGCGATGAATTTTCAAGAGCTAAAGCCAGATTTAAAGTTGTATATAAAGCTTTTCCGTTATCAAAGTGAGAAACTTTTGAAGGAGGCTGGCGGAAAGATAGCAGTCTTAGTTTTGACTGTCTTTTTTGCTTCTGAGATTTGAAGCAAAAACGCATAGCCTAGACTAGGGAAATTGTCTTGGAAGTTTGCTACGTGATTTTGCGTAATGTGCTGATACTCTAAAGGATATTCGTTGACGACAGCCCCGTTTCGTGCAT